TGTCCCTGGAGGGTGCCCCTCCCCAGCCACAAGCTCCTGGCTGCTTGTCAGTGGTCAGAGCACTTATCCCCACCCTCCCCGAGCCCCCACCTCACACAGCCACACCAGACTACGGCTCCAGATCCACTCTCAATCCCATCGTCCCTGCCCCCCCGCCAGGTCTGGGAGTGGGGACAGTCTGCCACAGTTGTCCCTGCTGGCCCCTCAGACCCTGCCCACTCCCTGTGACGGTCTCACTTAAGCCTATTTTCAGGCGAACTCTGGAATGTGCCTGCTCTTCCCAGCTGACATCCTTAACTCCTCTTTTACCATATGCCAGGAAGGATGTTATACGATTTCCCCTATAGAGAAAGAGAAATCCCACAGACCTCATAGTAAGAAACACCAGGGAATCCTGCCCCCTCCTCATGGGGACCAGGCTGTGTGCAAAGCAAAACCACAGCTCAGCTCAGATGTGCCCCCTCTGCTGCAGCCCTGTGTTCAGAAGACCAAGAATGTCCCCAAGACTCGGGCACTAGGCCATCCTCACTGAAGCCCAGGAGCTGGAGAGGACTCCCCTTCTTCACAGACCGGGATCCCAAGGAACACCGACCAAGGTTACATTGTCCAGTGGGGCCCGGACAGAGGAGGCCATGCAGCAAGGCCCATGTGTAAGCCCCCTGCAGAGCCACCAGCTGACCTGGGCTCTCTTTCCTTTGAGCCTCAGTTTCCCCTTCAATAAAAAGAGGAAACATGGGCCCCTTCTGGCTCTATTTGCAGATTCTGTATTACATTTTCATCCAAACCAATCCATTCCCAGAAAAAGCAGAATTTGAAGGAAGGCAGGGAAGCCAGGGGGAAGTGGACTCTTGAACATGGCGACAGACACCTGGGCCTGTCTCTCTGTCGGCTGGCGCTGTCTCTGTAGGCCGGTGCTGTCTCCCTGTCAGCTGGGGCTGTCTCTGCTGTCTATCACCTGGGGCTCTGTGCCAGGAGCCCCAAACACAAGGCCAGTGTTCTCAGACCAAGACATCCAGAAACCAGCGAACCAGGGCTCTCACGAGATGCTGGGTGAGGCCCCAGGGCCTGTCAGAACTGTCTCCCTCCTAGTCGCCCCATCTCCAGAGAGAACCCACCATGTCTCCCTGCAGCATAGGGGACCGAGATCAGCCCAAGAGGAGCCGTGGGGTTTGAGGTGGGCACACGGGACATCCTAATGTCCTCACCTGGCATTGGCTGCGGGCCTGTAGACCTGACAACCACGACTGTTTGGAAAATAAGCTCCCGGCTGCATCCTGGGACGCTCTGCTGAAGGTAAACACGGCGTCCTGGACACCAGCCACCTCTCTTTGTGTATTTGCCAGGAAAGCCCTTTCACGAGGACGGCAGCCCGCGGCACACACCAGGCCTGGCTGGGTCCCTAGCATGTCATCTCTCACAGCAGAATCTTTGCTGGCCTGAGGGGGATTGCTGGGGGTGCTACAGACATGCCGTCATGGCCCCGGAAATGCCTCTGAGAGCCTCAGTCTTCCACGACAGGCCCTGGTGCTGCCTCACAGGGGCCAGGTGCTCGAAGGGAAGAGGGCCACTCCTGAGACCAGATGGGGGACACCACAGAGCCATGGTCTTTCCAAAGGGGTCAGGATGGGGTCTCAGGAACAAGTGAGCCCATTTCCAGATTGTCGTTCTGTTTTTCTGCCCACACTCAGCACCCAGGAAGACTGAGACTTCCTTGTTCTCTCTGCGGGAGGGTGGGGTTTGTCCTCCCAGCAAGCAACGATGGTGTCTCAATGAAAGGGCTGCCCGCGTGGCCAGAGGAGGGGACGGCTCCATCTCCAAGTCCCAGCATGCTCAGGGGCAGGCGCTGGAAGCCGCTATGTGCTCGGCTCAGAGTTCAGGATGCAGAGAAAATAAGGGGCCGCTGCTCCCCTTGTGATGAAGGCAGGGGCGGGGCAGGTTGGACCACAGGACAAAGCCCTGTGAACCCCAGGGACCCAAGAGTCACCTCCGACTCCCAAAAGGATTAATCCAGTTGTGCCCAGCCCAGTAATAAACCAGAGCTAGGCCCTGACAATACGCTCCCCCCTCCCACAGCACCTGAACCCAGGAAGGGGGGGTGCAGAGTGGTTGGCTTGGCAGGTCATCTAACTGTGCCTGTTTCCTCCGTTACAAAATGAGGATGTCTGAACTGTTCCTATACCTCCCAGGGCTGTCCAGAGTCCCCAAGCAAAAGTGCAACCCTTTTCCACATTTCTAGGCTTATCCCGCCCCAGAGGCAGACACACCGCTCCCTCATCTCACCTACAGCCCAGAACCCTTTGCACACCCCTGCAGGGACACATCGTAACTTCTGATCATCAAGCCATTTCTCTAAGCCACTATTTCCACAAGGCTTGGGGACACTGTCTCACAGCCCCATGCTAAGGCTGCTTAGCTGTCTCTGGGCTTCAGAGTGCTTTCCTGCAAAAGGCATGGAATTATGTATGTCCGGGGCTGCTGAGCAGTATCTACGGCTCTGGATAGCCAGAACAGGTGGCCACTGACTTCGAGGCTCAAAGATCTG